CAAGTCCGGATACCATGTGCTTTACAGAATAGATGGAGGTCATCGAGATTCAAATAGGAGACCTTGTGGTCACTAAAAGCTCTGATGTCATGTCAAGAACCAGTTAATCCCAATAACTTAAATTATTGGGAGATGTGATCATATACCATTTACTAACAAGTACTAATACTCCTTTGTTCCTGGAAAGAAATTTTGCATTATGCAACAAGGGGTCTTTGGTTGCTGGGATTATTTTATCGAGATTCTTAGAATACTTTTATTCTTTAGAATCTACTATTTTTCATTGTTATGCATAATTATCATTCAAAATAAATGATTGTACAATTTTAATTTAAAACTATGATCCTACTGTTTCCGTTATATGATTGTACAATCTCCATTAAAATTTAAAAGTTGAGATTGTTGTCTTATTTTTATTTCGTGTTTATTCTGTGGAAAAAGTTTTTTATGGAAAAACTGTACAAGTGGCATTTTTGTTAATAAGTGATTTTCCTCCTTAATTATTAAAAATAGAATCAAACATACCATCTATTGTAATCTATAATACACAAAATTTTATTTGTGAGGTACTATTTATAGCCCTAAATAATGTTTGTTTGTATCTTGGATTTTTTTTTAAATTAATATCCTCACTTATATATATACCTATTGCATACATTTCAATACTAAAAAAACGAACACCCTCTACCAAACACACATCCGGTCAAAGTCGTCGTCAGCCGTCTCCACCGTCCATCGATCGTCTCTTAGCGATAGTAGTTTCCCGTCCAGGCTCACTTGTATATAACCACTTCCCATTATGTAATTATCTTGTTAATTAGTCCAAGTAGTGAGCCCATGCACGAGTGCATCTTTGATGTGCTAGAGTTAAGGGCATATATTTGGTGTTTCTGTACTCGTCTGGAACTCAAGGAAATAGTGGAGATTGTTCTTGGAGAGTACAAACTCTACCGTGGATTAGTCCTGGCATTCCAGGGGGATACCAAATTAGTTTGTGTTGTTTAATTTTCGTTTGTTAACATGGTATCTAAGCTATCGTCTATGGAGTAGGAGAGGATTTCGATTCGCCTCAATTTGAAGAACTTCGCATTGTGGGAGTTCCAGTTTAGCGTATTTGTTGAAGGGAAAGGAATGTTGGGCGTTCTTGATGGTTCTGTTCCACAACCCGCAGTTCCAGCTACGGAAGAACAGATTACCCGCTGGAAATTGAATGAAATCAGAGTTCGGTCTTGGCTATTGGGTTTAGTTGATCCAAAAATCTGCTTGGGTCTTGATGTTCCAGCTACGTATTCCACATCCAATGTTGCTAGACAATTTGATATAGAGTTTTGCGATGGCATGATTGGAGCAAGGGGATCGTGATGTTACGACCTATTTGATGGAAGCAAAGGAACTGTGGATGGAGACTGATATGCTCACGACCTCGCTTCGTTTGGCTAAAGTCTCTTCTGCCTTCATTGAGGAGCGGCACCATGCTCGAATCCTTCGGTTTGTGATGAAGCTCCGGTCGAAATTTGAGGTTGTTCGGTCAAGCATCATTCATCGCGACACCTTGTCCATGGATGGTGTTCTCAGCGAGCTGGTGAGGGAAGAAATCCGACTATGCACTCAGGCACAGTTGGATCTACGTTAGGGTGAAATCGAGTCAATTATCATTGTTTTTGCTGGGTCTGGTGAAGCATTTGTTGTTGGGAGACCACAGTTTCAACGTCGTGTACCGGTATTGGAGCAGGAATGTCATCACTGTCACGAGAAATGGCACCTTCAGAAGCACTGCAAGCGCAGCAATTACTGTGTGTATTGCAAGAAGGGGAATCACATCATCCTGGAGTGTCGGTTGTTTCAGACGCATCATGGGAAGGCTGCTTATGCTTCCTCGTCTGGATCCCCATCATCGTGTCTTGTTTATGCTACTCTGCAGGTTGAGCTTACAGGGGGCTTCAGTTTCGACAGCAGCTATTGAGAAAATTGTCAATGTCGCCCTACAGAAGTCGCTCCCTACCGCCATAAGTTCTGCCTTTGCTACTATGCAAGGCACAGGTAATAGCCCTCCTTGGCTTCTTGATTCCGTCTGTTACAATCATATGATGAATAGTTTATTAAAGCTTAAGAATGTTATGCCAATTCAAAACATGGGGCTTCGGGTTGCTAATGGGAAACGCCTCAATGTGACGGGTATTGGGTGTGCTAGTGCGCCTCATATTTCATTACCCAATACGTTACATGTTCCTAAATTAGTGCATAACTTGGTCTCCATTGGATAGTTGACTGTTCAAGGATGCTCCATTTTGTTTGCTCCCAATGGGTTTTTTTGTGCAGGATTTGAAAACGGGGAGGCATACCGGAAGGGGGAGTAAGAGGGGGCGGATATTTGAGCTTGAAGAGTTGTCCAATGCATCGGCATTAAGTAGTCCTTCAAATAGGATCGTCAGTAGTCCTTCTTTGCCTTTGTCTTTGTCTTTTTCTTTGTCTTTGTCTTCAAATTCTGAGTTGGATTTGTGACCTGTTTGTTGTTCCAATTTGTCAGATACTGGTTGGGACCTATGGCATTCTCTCCTTGGGCAACCCAACTCTAGTCGGCTTCAAATGATAATTTTATGACAGAGCTAGTCATTCTTCATGATAATTTGATTTCAAAAAAATTTAATTATTAGTTCATGTTAGAGTAATGAATAATTATTAATAATGTGTTGAAGTATATTATTTTTTTAAGATGATAATGTAAACACTATTTTCGTGCAATTATTTAATTATTATGCTTCATATTTAGAAGTGAGTCACATTGATTAGAACTAAGCGGATTTTGCCGACATATGATATCTAGGTGTTTGAACGCTTAATTGTCTGTCTAGGTCTTAGGAGAGGTGTTTTCTCACCACCTAGCGCCTAGGTGTATGTGAAATTACGTGCTCTTGAACCCTGTTTAGAAGTTAGCCACACTGATTAGAATTAAGATGATTTTGCATATTCGTGATTAACTTAACCCTATTACTATTTCTTTCAAAGGTAGACTGATTCGCTGATAAATGATACCAAGAGGAATATGCAGGCTCCAGATACGGTGCATAACCCATGATTATACACCCATCAGTTACTAAATTTGGACCCTTCATTCAGAAAATCCAGATATAAGGGTGGAGAATTAAAGGCATTTTTCCCTTGTTTTCTTAATCGACTCATATCTTCTTCGTTTTAACTCGGATTTCAATTTTTATTGCACATATGGAATGAGGTCGTTGTGCTCTGCAAATGATATTCATTTTCAATATTTTTTGAGAAATTATTTTTTGCCTCTCGTTACCAACTGCATATCATATGGTATCTTCTTTGTTTTTAAGTCATTTTTGAAAAATTTTGCACCGAAGGAACGAGTTCATCATGATCCATTGAATCTATAAATTTCTGGGTGAACAAAATACATGACCAAAAAATATCACACAATACCACCCTGGTACGGGGTGGTATCTTGTGGTACACAATGTTGAAAGTCGTAAATGACCCTCCTACTATCATGTATTCAACCATTCTACAGTCTTGGTATGTTCATACCATCATGGTACGCTTTATACCATATGGTGTGATCTTATTTCAATACCGTCAATACCACATGGTATAAACTGGTAAAAAAAATGGCTCAACTTTTTTGTTCCAAAAATATATCAAAGTGGGTATCATTTTGAAGAACACAATTAATCTGATCTAACTGTGCAAAAAAAAAAATGAGTTAAAATGAGTGAGAAATCGTCCGTTAAAGATTAAGGGAGAAAAAATTAAAAAGCTTTTGAGGAGAGAGAATGGACACTGATGTGGAGGATGGTGATTGGGTTATGCATGGTTACTTACCTGTAAGTTACAGACTGGATCTGCTCCAGTATATGCATGGTGGTATATATGTATGATACCTCGGGTCTGACCACCCTCTTTCTAGTCTCACATCTTTGTTTGTTGTAGAAGAATTCAAACCATAACAAATATTGAATAGGTCTATACTAACCAAAGTATACCACATTTCACTGCCACTTACCACCCTGGTCCCTATACCAAGGGATATAATATGGTCACATCTCCCAACAATTCAAGTTATTGAATCAGTTGGTTTATGACATGTTATTAGAGCTGATTTGTCTTTGAGGTCACATGTTCAAGTATTCACGGCCCCCAATATTAACCGTTGTCTTAAACATATGGTATGACGGGCATGTGCGCAAACTTCAAACCCACAAGTTGGCTTTCGCTTGAGGGAGCGTGTAAGGAACTGGTGTGATAAAGTACCATACATAAACTTCTCCTAACAACTCGAGTTATTGGGACCAGTTGGTTTATGACAATTTGTACCCAAAATTGTAGTAAAAAACAACTGTGATTCTAGAGTGGTAACGAGTGATAATGTGGTAAACAAATTTGTTCTCAAAATATATCAACAATGAACATCATTTTATAAATCGCAAATATTTAATCTCATCTTTTGATCTAGCCTCGCTCAAAATTTAAAAAGTGCAATCTTTTTTTTTTTTTTTTGACAATATAAAAAGTGCAATCTCATTCTACAAAAATTTCATAATCAAGGATTATGCAGTCTAGACCCAAATCCGGGCATATGTATGAAACTAGTCAAAACTCAAATTTGTTTCCGCCTTCAACTCGGCTAAGCGGAAGAGCGAGCCGACTTTACCATCTCCCGGTCTCTGTTTTTTTCTGGGTTTCTCCGACTCCTCCTTATTGCTCTCCAAATCCAAAGCAAATTCGCCACGTTCTCACACGCCCTCCCAGGGACCCACCACCACACTAGTTGCTCCCTCCCAATCCCAATCCCTTTAAATACCACCCCCACTCACTTCTCACTCTCTCATTCCCTCCCCAACTCAAACTTTCCTTTCCCTTCTCTCTCTTCTCTCTCCCTCCGCCGCCGTGCCGGAATTAATCCTCCACAACGTCCGCCTGAAAAAACTCTAGCCTCACCACCGCCCCTAAAAACCCAACATTAATTAATTCTATACCAAATGGCACCTCCAAACGGAGCCGCCGCCGACCTCACACAACCCTTGGTGGACTCCCACCTCCACCCGGACCCGCTCCCTTCCCCCAAATCTCCCCCGCCGCCGCCGGCAGAGCCGCCCCACTGCGGCAGCAACGAGCTCGAGAACGTCCTGTCCGATTCCAACCTCCCCTTCGCCGCTAGGTTCAGGCGGGCCACCGCCATCGAATCGAAGCTCCTCTTCCACCTCGCCGCCCCCGCCGTCATCGTCTACATGATCAACTACCTCATGTCCATGTCCACCCAGATCTTCGCCGGCCACCTCGGCAACCTCGAGCTCGCCGCCGCCTCCCTCGGCAACACCGGCATCCAAGTCTTCGCCTACGGCCTCATGGTATATATTCTACTCTAACCCCACCACCCCCGCTTCCGCCGCTTTCTCTCAATTAATCCTTACTGAATTCCATGTCTTTTAATTTCTCCCTTCGCTTGTTATTAACGTAACAAATTACACTTTGCTGACGTGTACCCAGAGGAAGAAAAAATTACATTCACCGACGTGGAACACTTGCTCTTCTTGGGTCAAACACCCATTGAAAATTACCTTGCAGAAAATTGTTTGTATACAAATTGTGTAACAACATAACCATAACAGTTTAATTTGTAACAGTTTAAGAAGTAGTTTTGATGGACGAAATTAAGTCAAAATGAGTGAAATTCACAATTTTTTCATCTCTAATTTTTCCATGTATACATTCTTGTAATGGGTTGAAATACGCTAATCGTACGATAAAGGTAAAATCAAAACCGTTCATCTAAAATGACCCGAAATAACATAAACTACACACTTTGTGAATGAATGTTTGGTAGTAATCCGTTGTACATAAATATTGCATGAAACTCTATCCCTTAAACATGCTAAGCTTGTGACTTGTGAGGCTAATTCTGGTAATTGAATTTGTTTGAAATTTTACAGCTGGGGATGGGAAGCGCGGTAGAGACACTGTGCGGGCAAGCCTACGGAGCCCAAAAGTACAAAATGCTGGGGGTCTACCTCCAGCGGTCAACCGTGCTCTTGACCCTGACCGGCGTCGTTTTGACCCTAGTCTACGTCTTCTCCCGCCCCATCCTGATCCTCCTGGGCGAGTCGCCGGAAATCGCCTCGGCCGCGGCCGTGTTCGTGTACGGGCTGATCCCGCAGATCTTTGCGTACGCCATCAACTTCCCGATCCAGAAGTTCCTGCAGGCGCAGTCCATCGTGGCGCCGAGCGCGTACATCTCGGTGTTCACGCTGGCGATCCACCTGGTGCTGAGCTGGGTCGCGGTCTACAAGCTCGGGATGGGCCTGCTGGGCGCGTCGCTGGTGCTCAGCCTGTCGTGGTGGATCGTGGTCGCGGCCCAGTTCCTCTACATACTCTATAGCAGCAGGTGTAAGTACACGTGGGACGGGTTCAGCTCGCAGGCCTTTGTTGGGCTCGGCGGGTTCTTCAAGCTGTCCGCCGCCTCCGCGGTGATGCTGTGCCTGGAGACCTGGTACTTCCAGATCCTCGTCCTCATCGCCGGCTTGCTCCCCGATCCTGAACTCGCGCTCGACTCCCTCTCGGTCTGGTAAGCAAGCACCTCTTTCACCTCTTAATACGATACGATTTTACAAACACAGACTTATTTATTATTGGGGTTCATTTTCATTGGGTAATTTAGAATGGAGAGTAACGTGGAGGGGAATTGGGGTTTGACTCTATAGTGTTGCGAAAATTCCTTCATCACGTGCAGCTAGCTGAGGTAGCGCCGTAGCGCGTAGTGTTATTATATGTAGCATTCAAATTCCTTTTTTCTGTCTATTGGCCCCAACCTCAGTAAAACATTGACGGACTAATGGAGTGTGACAATTTTGTTAGCGTGCTGATGGGTTTCGGTTCGAATTAGATTCATTTAGATCGTGCGGTCTAATGATTTTAATCAGTAGACATTACCATTTCAATAGTCGTTTATAGTAATTGTACAAGCGTATTAGACATACGCAATGTGCGAGATATGAAGAGGTGCCAGCCATGCCATGTTAGACTTACACAAATGGCTTCAAAATGTGTGTTGTTGCAGCATGACGATATCGGGATGGGTGTTCATGATCTCCGTTGGCTTCAATGCCGCCGCAAGGTTGGTTTAATTTACGTTTGACTTTTGATGGATCCAATTCTTCTCTTCTATTTGTTTATTTATTAATTAATTTGAGTTGTTAATGTTGATTAATGATGCAGTGTGAGGGTGGGAAACGAATTGGGAGCAGGTCACCCGAAATCGGCGGCGTTCTCCGTGACGATGGTGACGTCGATGTCATTCGTGATCGCCGTCATCGCCGCCGTGGTCGTGCTGGCTTTCCGCAACGTGGTCAGCTACATCTTCACCGACGGGGAGACGGTGGCCGCCGCGGTCTCCGATCTCTGCCCACTCCTTGCCGTCACCCTCGTCCTCAACGGGATCCAGCCTGTCTTGTCGGGTATCTATTATTTACTATGATCCACAATCATGAAAAAAGAATGTATAAGTCATAATTAATTTGGTTAAGTATGTTCCTAGCATGTGACATGGAATTTAATTGTGTATATAATATATTATTCAGGTGTGGCTGTTGGGTGTGGATGGCAAGCATTTGTGGCTTACGTCAACGTTGGATGTTATTACTTCCTCGGAATCCCGCTCGGCATTTTCTTTGGGTTTTACCTCAATTACGGCGCTAAGGTAAGAGAAAAACATTACAATCGATTTACATATGAACAACTCGAGTTATTATGATAAATGAATATGTAATTAGTACGGTGGTGACGAATTGGTAAATTTGTTACAGGGAATTTGGACGGGAATGATTGGCGGGACGGCGCTACAGACGGTGATTTTGTTATGGGTGACATTCCGAACGGATTGGGACAAAGAAGTGGAAGAGTCTTTGAAGAGGTTGAACAAGTGGGACGACAAGAAACAACCACTCCTCGAATGATTGGTTATTTTTGGGATGATGGTGGTATAGATAATGAGACGTTGATGGTCGTCGACTGACCGAGAACGAGCCAAAGCTAGCCGACGGCCGGAACCTACCGGAGCATTGTGCAAGAGAGAGATAGAGAGACAGAGGGCGCCGTATACAGTTTGTTCTGTTTGGGGATATCAATTAATTTGTTAATTAATTGGGGTAAATTAGTGTGTGGGGAAATTGTGTAATGGGTGGTGTTTACGTTGTTCCATTTTGTAACAAGTCTCTTTTTAATTAGTGATAATATATATAATTAATAATTAATAATCAATAATCATTAGTCACACTGGCGTTGTCCCAAATTTCTTGCCTCGAGCCGCCAAAAAAGGTTTACACCTGTCGTCCAGTGTCCACTCAATCATAGATGGAAAATCCCAATTTGGTCACACTCTTCTACTTACCAAGATGGGTTGGGACTCTAATTTCCATGGTATATATATAATTTATATATAAACAAACATAGTCGTCGACATGAACACTATAACCAGGAGATGTGAATGGACGGGAAAATTTCCCTAAATGACACTTAATAAAACAAATTACTACATTACTACACTTACACAGTTACAGTGTTACACTAATATTTTTCAAAATACTTAAGTTTGAGATGGTTTGCTGAACACCTAAGCGAATTCGATGGAGTTGGACGCGAGGTACATGTACTTCTCTGTAACTAGAGCAATCCAACTGGTTTGCGTTGGAGCTCAACGATTGGTGGATACCCAACAACACAGATCATTGAGGAAGGGTGCGATGCACAACGCATGACACTGGATTGTGCACACGTAAAAAAGTGATATGTGTCGATGGTTGCTAAGTGGCTCGTTTCTATGATGCAGATTGTGGGTGAGGAGGGCGGACGACCGTTGATAAGAAAAGTCTATTATGGCTAGGCTACCCTAGTCTCCAATGGTAGAGATCAACAGAGCTCCAATGGCCAGTCTCTCTTTACTCGCCTGTCCGTTGCTGGTTTGGTTGTGTTATTGCTTTGTGTTAATGAAATTGTCATCACCGACACTGATCTTGATGGTATTTGCAGTCTGAAAGAAGGTCTTCATGCGTCATTCATTCTGAAAGATCTGGGTGAACTTTCTTATTTCCTGGGTATTGAAGTCACACGCACTTCCAACGGTATTCTGCTAACTCAACAAAATGCATCTCTAGCCTCCTTGCTGATAATCAGTTTAATGATTGTAAACCGATTTCCACTCCCCATGTGGAGCCTGATGTCAAGCTGGGTCGTGACTTTGGCACGCTAGTGCATGATAGTACTGTGTATAGGAGCATTGTTGTAGCCTCGTATATTTGTCTGCTACGTCATATATCTCCTATGCAGTCTAGGTTGTTAGTCAATCATGTCTACTCCTCATACAGATCATCTTGCAACGGTTCATCGTATACTACGGTATCTGTTGAGTACTTAGGATGTTTGTATGTCTTTCCCTCCACTGGTACTGCTACTCTTCGTGCATATTAGGATTCCGACTTTGCTGGCTGCATCGACACTCGTTGTTCTGCTACTGGGTGGTATGTTCAATTTGCCTCAACCTTTATCTTGTGGTGGTGTAAAAAGTAGGATAAAGTTTCAAAGTCTTCCGTAGAGGTTTGGTGGTATGTCCTATTCCCATGGATCTCTTTGTGGACAATACGAGTGTTATTCGTATTGCGGCCAACCTAGTGTTTGACGATCATGTGAAGCATACTAAGATTCATGTTCATTACATCTGTGATTTGGATGAGATGGTGTTGTTACACTTCATTATGTCGGGACTAAAGATCATAATGATGACATCTTCACGAAGGCATTCTCCACTAATCGACATTGGTATCTCTCGAGCAAATTGGTGCTTGTGCTATGTGATCAACATCAATTTGAGGAGCTTGTTAACAGAACGAAAGACCTATTTCATTTCTTTCCTTGTACAATCCAGTAGAGATAGCCCACCAAGCCCATTGTATAATCCGTGTAGCCCAAGTATGAGTAGCATGTCGAGTAGTAGTGGCTAACTCTAGGGTTCGATTTCTAGTTTCTTCCTTGTATATAGTCCTGACAAAAAGGAAGCTACTGTAACATATAATCATTATCTTCACAAAATAATATTAGTACCCCAAAGAGTAATCTGACCCTTTTGTGGATTAATTCGTATCATTTCAGAGATACCACGTAAATTCGATTGTCCATTTTCAGTTTTTCTGTCTATTTCCGATTGATCAAACGATTTACTGAGTGAGTTGATAGATACCTCCCGTTTATAATTTGTTGGGTCAAATTAATCTTTTGTTTTTTTTTTTATAATAAAGATCTGGATCATTTCATTAAGTGGTTGAAATTTGGTTACAATCAACCCTTAGGAATACAGCCACAGGGGATCTAGCAACCCAACTTGCTTTTGCCTCTCAGTCACACATGCTTCATGCTTGGACTATTAGATGTCTGCTTTGTTAGAGTTTCGGCCAACAAAAATCCAAGGAAAACCCCTCTATTTGTTGGGCCTCAGCCCTGATTTCTTCACAAATCTTTTTTGTTAATCAGAACCCAGAAGGGCCTGGATTTGACAAATGTCATAGAGAAGAAAGTATAAGTTCATTAGGAAACTATGACTATGACTCTATGAGTGTGTCTGCTAACAAACAGAAGGTAACAGGCAAAGCTAGGAAGTAGCAGCTCGTCTAATAGTCCCCATCTAGATGGAATATGAACAAACACTGTGCCGCGACTGCTATAGCTAGAGGCATTTGTTAACAGTTTTTTGTGCTCCTTTATGAAATCCAAAAGAATGATGTATACATCACCACGCTGGCTATTGAGATTCGATCCCATGTATCAGTAGAGCAAGAGTAAGCTCAATTAGGCAGATCATACTCGCAATGTTCTCAATCATACTGTTGGTGAAACACTAACACAAATACAAGTACAAAAACACCAAAAACAAACGATGAAAACAATCATTTACTTCTTCTTCCCTGCTTTTCCTTCCTTCAATCTCACAACCTCATTCGCATACCTCACACCCTTACCTTTGTACGGCTCGGGGGGCCTCCATCGCCTAATCGAAGCAGCAAACAGGCCAATGTCACACTTGTCATACCCACTGATTATGATTCTGGTGTTCTCTTCGACCTTCACCTTCAAGTTATCCGGAATTTTCATCCTGACTGGATGAGAAAACCCCAGACTTAAAACCAAGTCGTTTCCTTCAACTGTTCCACGATAACCAACACCGACTAACTGAAGCCTCTTCTCGAACCCCTTCGATACTCCCACCAACATGTTGTCGGTAAGTGTCCTGAGAGGCAAAGCGTAGTCAGAGTCATTATAGGTAGTACGTAAATTTGACAAGGTACTATTGACAAGAACATGGCCTCGAGTTTCTGTTCTCAGTTTGTTCCTGCTATAATAGCTAAGAGCACTATAATTTCTTAGATGACAACAAGAAGCTTCCATCAATACATGATAGCTCATTTCACACTTCTAGGCTCTAGCCATGTAGTTCAATAATCAACTAAAACTCCAAGTCATTAATATATCAGTAGGTGAATTCCCACGCAAACTACTTCATGACTTAGAACAGACTACAGAACTCATAGAAGCCCTCAAAGTACCCAACCAATGAGTTTCTGAAAATGAAGCTACTTTTCTATATCACACATTCTGCTATCATACACAGAATCACTATGGAAGCAAAGTCATCTAATCAATAGAGTTGAGAGATAACCTATAAAGCCCATGCATTTGGTTGGCCCTTCTGGTCTCCGTCGCCTTCTTAACACGAATGGTTCCATCCTCTTGCCTCTCAAGCTTGACTTCAGAGGGGTAAACCCTAGAGAGTTCGCCCAAAGGTCCCTTGACCTTCAGTTCCTGGGATTCCAATGTGATGGTCACATTCACTGGAACTTGAATCGGCAGCTTACCGATTCTTGACTCCTTACATTCGATACTCCACCTCGGGAAATTCACACGAGGAACTGGAGTGAGAGATACACAGATTCTGCTACTCTCGCCCCAAAACACAGATCTCAGATTGCTGAAAACATCAGAAGAAGGCAAGGCACATCTGAGATTTTAGATACCTCAACTCGTGCTCTATATGACTACATTTAGTTGCATACCAAATAGACCAAAGAAGGAACATAAACATAGTCTAACACACTTTAGAAATCCTCAGCCTTGAAGGCTAATTCAAAACATTCTGCTAAATTCAGTATAAAAAACCATCATACGGAGATTAACTCCTCTCACTTGAACTATTTCGCAAGTAACATGACTTCACTAGCATTGTGAAAGAGACTGCTTTTCAATGTTTACTCAACATTTTCAACGAAGAAAGCTCCACTGGAAGTTATATCACTCCAAATGAGAATGGGAGAAGGAGGGCTCTCGTAGAACCACAATAAAACCTCTAGCTCAATAAGGCTCTAATCAATGATATCCTTTCACCTGAGAATCTCAAGCAATCTTCCAGTAATTTAGATACCCAGAAACGTTTAACAGAGACTGAAAGTGAAGCCAATAGAGCTTCAAGCAAGAATCTTTTCACAAAATTACTACCACGGGTAAAGGAATTCGAAGCTTTATGGTAAAGGGTTCTCGAACCTGGTATGAAAATTCGAAGTGATTGAGGAGGACGCCATGACCAGGAGCTTCTGAGCACAGAGAGGGCAGAAGACCCTATCCAAATTCCAAAAGAAGGAACAGATAGTACTGGTTAAGTAGAAGCCAGATTACAAAATTGCTATATCTCCACCGCAATGTGATGGGCCCAATATTCAACGAGAAAAAACATGTGACGGGCCCAATTCATTTTTGAAGATGGGCAAAAAGAAGAGAGCTAACCCAACCTCGTCCGCCGAAGGCATTTTTCTCTCTTAGGCCTGGCCGCCTGGGCTTTGTTTATCCGGCTTTCTGCCGTTAAACCATCTCCAAGTCTCCAACCCAGTTTTAGTCATAGTTAGTAAATATTCCGTTTAATGCACGTATATATACCCGTATGTATTTTATTTGTTTAAAATTTTTGTATCTGTATTATTGTCAAGCCGTTTCATTTTTTTCCATTAATTGGATGGCTCTCGTACTAAACACGTATAAAACCCGTATAACACGTTTAATATCCGTATTTAATGAATTAAATTGTGAACTTTACTATTATTTATATATTTATTTATTTTAAAATTAATTAATTTTTATATATTTATTACTATTAACGTACTATTAAACGTAACTTTAAATTAGAGAAGATACAAGTAGTTTAACAAATTCGGGTTTGTGTGAAAAACCGAACCGTTTGAGGTTTGGAAGAATTCTGGGACCCGATATTCATAATTTCGGTTCGGTTTCGACCAAATGCCCACCCTTACATGTGATCATAAACACGAAAAAATAGGGTTGATAGCCCATCTTGGATTAAATGCAAATGACGAATATCCTAACCACATTTTGATTAACCAAGATATGGAAGTCCCGAAAAGAAATAATTTGATTTGGTTAAACTGTGTCTCCACTTTATATGCTCCACTATGTGTTAGCTCAATTCTAAAAGTTTATTATTAAAATCATTAAACCACTTTTCTTCTAGATAATCTAGACTATTTGTTGATCATTAAACCATCTTTTACTTGTTGAGCATCACCACTTTCCTTGAGAATAGCTTACATGTTAAGCATTAAACCAAATGTGCATTAGCTTTAAATCATGTGGAAGGTACTATTCTTTGTCATACTATTTTTCACAGACAAGAAGAATTGATTCTTGTGCTGAAAATGAACAAGAACCAAACTTTCGTTAGCCTTAAATCATGTGGAAGGTTGCCGATACACCTAAACAAGAATATAACTCCCAAAGGCCACTTTTCTTCACAATGTGGATGTACATTTTTTTTCCTAGACCCCAAAGGCTTTCCAAAAAACTCTTACTATAATCACTCATAAGAATAATTCCAAGCAGAGCACAAACTCTTTCAATTAAGGCCTACAAAGCATATCACTTGGTATATATGTTTCCTTTTATCCATATCAAATTTAGATACTCTTATATCTTTGATAACTACGAATCTCACTTCTAACTTCTCGCATAGAGCTCGGTATCGTCCTCATAGAGTAAGTCATCAGTCCAACCCTAAAAAATTAATGTTTCAAGCGACAATATCAACGCAACTCTCCATAACATTCGACTATGGACGTTCAAGGACTATTTGGATTAACTAGAGTTTTCCCTTGAACAAAGAAACTTTTCCTCTAGTCTTTTTCTTTCCACCTATAGCCATACACTTTGTTTGGTCTTTGTGAAAGTTTAGATATTATATTCGTATCCTCTCTTTTTTATGTGTATTTGACTCACTCTTTAATTATCTCTTTGTTTGGTTTTATTTATTGTTTACTGATTCGGGCCAAATTGTACATGTTTTGCCCCCGTTTCACTTAGGTGTTTGTGTCAAATTCACTCCTAAAAGGTTGGTTTTACGCTAGGTTCCTCGTGTTTTAGTGTGTTTCAAGATTCAACAGGTGAAACCAGCTCGGAATCGAAAGTTGGGCGCAAAGGATCGAAAACCGGGAAAAGAGGTGAAAAATGGCCTGTTCACAGCTTTCCCAGGAGGTTCACGGTCATGCAAGACCGTGAAGAAGAGCCCTTGACCGTGAACTGCGAGGCGTCCAAAGCCAAAACAGAGGTTACTGACGCATGGTGAGTTCACAGTCAATAAGACTGTGAACGAAGGAAGTTGACCGTGAACAAAAGTGAACAATGCGGCGGGTTTTGGCGCACGCCTGAAGTTCACGAACGCGTTTCATGGTTCACGGCATGAACTCAGGCCGTGAACTCAGCTCGTCTCTGTTTTAAAAGACGAGTTGAAAGGAGAAGAGAGGGGGGAGCCCATTTTGTGTGAAAAGCCTTCTTCAGCATTCTAGAGAGAGAAACGCGAACCAAGGGAGAAGAAGGTGTTGCAGGCGTCGAGCGCGAGATGCCTCCTACTTTTTGTCGATCAGAATTCCCTGCAAACCCTAACCCGACTCTCGACTTTGATCAGTGAAGAAACAAAACACAAATGAACTGAAGGAATGAGATTTCAGATCAACCAAATAAAACGAGATGGACTTTAGACCCTGGGCTTGAGTATAATTAGGCCCACTGATGTTCAGGCCTCGTATCAAGCTTGTAGTACACAGCTCCACCTTTGGTTTAAAACTGTGCGTTTCAACAACAACCTTTGTGTTGTTTCCTTGGAACCAAACGGATTCAAGTCCCCTGTTTCTCAACCAATATCGAGTCCTGCAAACAGAGACAATCACAGTAAACAGGTAACAAGAATGATAGAGGCTGTAACACGTTTTTACGTGGTATCCAGAGCTGGGTAAAACGATCCCCAACTCTGACTAATCCACGGACGATATATCACTGATGCGTGATTCTCGCCAATCCACTAAGTATGTTGCTTTTGTTGCTCCGATTCAGAGATACACTCTTAGACTTAGCTACCCAACCCTTACAGGCAAGATAACCCTTCTATCCCAGTAATTCTTTCTCCTCAGCTATCCAGCCACTTTTCTCAACCTCTAAATCACTTATCAATCCTGATCTGGTGTTTAGAGCCGCTCTTCCTATCTCTCGTTGCTTACACCTCACTGTGTACTCTTGAACGAGATTTTCCCGAAAAGCACCTTCAATTACTTGACTCTGATCCTTTTATACTTCTTCACAGCTAGCCGTTAGTGTCATAGTGAGGCAGCTTGAAATTCTTTCCTTAAGAGCTTCGTGGATCTTTGCCGAATCAAATCATCCACCATTTTCACGATTTCTTTCCCTCTGTAGAACCTTGTATCCCACGTTTCCTCCTTCAAATTCTGTGATTAATGGCTGGCTTGCTGTCTTGCTCACAACATTCTCCCCCTAAGCCAGTCAATGATCCCTTCAGCTGAATTTGCAGTTCCTGCACACACTTAACACACAGTTACGTGCAGACTGTTCCAGACAAACGTGGAAGAACAAATTCTCAGACACATTCATGTAACCAAGAAGGGAGTTTTATTTATTCAACCAGACACAGCACATAAAGATTCTAACACGGACTCACTCATACTAAACTTTATTTCGACTATCACCATGACCAGACAAGACTTATTGAACTTAACTCAACATGAAGACTACTGCCAATGCTAAACTTAACTCACTCATTATACCGGACTCTACTCATAAGAATCAAACTCCCCCTACACGTGACTCCTGTCCTAAAAGTCATAATCTGGAGACTGAACATAATCCGAGATTGCATCTTCATCCTCCATCATCGGATTCCTGCTGCTGCTAGCTTCTCCTTCCTGTCTGAACATGGCTTGAATAATCTCTAAAGGATGCACCATTGGGCGTTTTCCTTTGTCTTCTGCAGCTTCAACCAAGTCCGCTATGTCAGGGCCCTCTTCAGGTTCATTGGCATCCAGCTCCGCAAGGTACAGACCATCTTCTTTAGATGGAACTGCATTATCAGCTGCTTCTCCCCCTGGAGCATTGACCCTAGGACCACGACGACCCACTGAGGCATCGACCTTACGCAGCACAAATTGAGCACGCAGAGAGCTCAGCAGATCCACACGAGCGACCTTAAAACGCAGGTCCAGGCCTAAGGCCAACAGAATTTGGGTGATCTGTGGAGCAAAAGGAAGTTCACACTCATAATGTTCGTCATGGTAGTTTACCATATGAGCAAACATCAGGTGAGGAAAGCTGATGACTCGATTCTCCTTAGCACTTGCGAGTATCCATAGATCCGAGGGATAGATTGTGTTGAGACCATGAGAACGGGGAAGGAAGCAACGAGTGATGTAGAAATGTAGCACTTTGAGGTCGTCAGGAAGCCTACCAGTATGAAAGTCAGAGGGATAATAACGACCAGTATCCCTGGTGTAGAGGCGAAGTGCATCTCCTTCATTGAAATCAACCGAGTGAAAATCAGACTCATTGAGAACTTCAGCCCCCGCAATGGGAATCCCAAGAAGGAGAGACAATAGTTCCACATTGATAGTTATCAAATAGTTGTAAACTATTGTAGTGAAGCAAGGAGGATAGATATGAAAACTAGGTTTCATGTTGGCATAGAACATCCTCACAGCTTCCGGACGAAAGCCAAAGTTCCTGTCAGGGAGGATTTCACCCCATCCAATGGAGTTGATCAGGCGAGGGATGTCCATCCCATACCTGTTGAATCGAGAGGGATCAAGAGTGATGGAGGGACAGAGAGCTCGATCTTGGAAGTGACGCAGATAACGTGCATATCCAGCCGCATCTTCAAACCCCTTTCCATTGAATATGGCAGCTTGTGCCAGGCGAAGTGGCGCCATATGCTGATTGGAACCAGCCATGATATGCACAGAGAATGATAGCTTTTAGTAGCAGAGTGGTATGTGGGAAAGCTGAGATTGCCTATGACCTTAGACCTTTTTATATTTGCACGAGGATACAGATATGGAAGGTTCTTGCTCCTAAAGTCTCGACAAAGAACAGATGGATGGAAAGTCTAGTAGAGGGAAGGATAGGAAGATTGAAGGCCTTGCTCCTAAAGTCTCGACACAGAACAGAAAAGGAAGATTAGACTTGCTCATTCTGTTTGGGCATGATTTAAGGCTAGGGCAGGAGCAATGTCATTTAAGGAAAATATTCCTAGTTCTCTACGAATGTGGAGGAAAGATTCCGAGCCCAAAGGCTTTGTGAAGAT